CCTAAATGCAAATGGGAAACAACTACCAACCAACCCAAGTCAACCAAAAGGAGTAGTATACAAAGTAGACTGCTTTTGCGGCAAGGCATACATAGGTGAAACGAAAAGACCACTTGACAAACGTATATCAGAACATAAGTCTAGGGCCAAAACTAATGTATCCGCAATAGCAGAACATATAACTACGAGAACGTAGCTAAAAACGTTGAGATATACTGATGTACGGAGGGTTGAGAGATAAGATTTGTTATCTAGTACCGACTGTTCAAATGGGGGTTTAAAGTCCTACTGTTCTGTCGACTTGAAATATATACCAGCCTATCTGAATAAAATTTTACAAAGGAAATTAAAAGTTTACTTAGTCACTTGGCCGCTCAATTTGAATTTGAAGACAGTTGGTGGATATGTGCCTTTGTTTGAATATGAAAAGTACTCACAAGTTACAAAGTGACTGGGTTGATCGAATCGGCGTCTCTAGCTGTATGGAACGACAAATTTACAAATATTTATCTAATTGACACGGGACCCATTGGCAATAAATTGATTTTATGTTAGTTTGGCGTTCCATAATTCAGACCACTTGTAAAGAATCGGATGTGTTCGCGATGTAAGCCTGTACTGTGATTGGCTAATATATCTCGTGGGTATTCGATTCATTACAAAACAATGAAAAGAATGCGCATGTCTATTTTACATGATTTAATGTATCATTCATGGTGTCAGTCATTAACAAATTAAATTACCAAAAATTTTGTCATTATTATTAAATGATCAAAATGCTGCCATTATAAAGTAATCAAGTTACCCGCAGACCAAGCTCTTGACACCTATGTACCTATGGTGGCTATAGCAAGTGATTTGCTTTGCCTTATATAAAGTGTTTTCCAGCTAGTGTGAACAATTCCTTCTGGCCATGATTTATTGAATAATTCTAGAAGTAAAATTACGTAATGACCCTGAGAGTTTTCTTAAAGGACAATATTGGTGTCAGTCATTATAAAATATGTGATAGAGCTCGTTACATACATCCCAAATATAATTTTAACACAGAGATCATTGCTACGATAGCTGAGAAACAAGCACGTGAAGAAACGGGAAGTGACGTCAAACATGACAAACACGAGTTGTCTTTCTATATAACAGACTGAAGTAACGAGCGGTAACAGACAAACGATCGAATTTCATTTCACTAGATAATTCAGTTGAAGATGAAAAGTTGTTATATGGGACGATGAGAGGATATCTGACAATTCAAAAAAAGAATTGGCTGTCAGTAGATAAAAGATAACGAATAAATTAGAAAAAGTCCGTGCATTACCATGTTTTTATTAAGAGCAGAATGAATAAAAACGGGAATGCACGGTTTTTTTCTATTTTTCTCGTGTCCCTTATCTAGTGACAGCCAATTCTATTTTTGAATTGTGAGATACCCTCCCACCGTCCCATCTGAATTATCAGTGAAATGAAATTCGATTGTTTGTCTGTTACCGCTCGTTACTTCAGTTTTAAGTTATTTTTTCCTTGCATTTACGGCTGTTTGACATTCCCGGGACCACCAAGGTTTCGGGCGCCTTTGGGTTTCCCGCCTGTTGTTCTGGGGATCGATTTTCTGCTGCACTGAAGATCGCACGCAAAATATTCTCGGTAAATATATTTATATCATCGTGTCTTACTGTGTTTTGGTCGATTTTTTCACAATAGTGTTGAAAAAGAGCCCAATCTGCTTCTTCAAGTTTTCATCCTTGTTTGCACATGACTGGTTTTTTATTTACGTTTGAGTTTATTTCAGTTAAGACTATTAGATGATCACTACGTAGCGTATTATTTATGACTTGCCACTTACAGTTTAAAGCTAAACTGGGAGATGTTAGGGTAAGATCAAGGTGGGTTGCACCGAGTTTGTTGCCACAACCGATATATGTTGGGTCACCGTTATTTAATAGAACTAAATTAGAATTTTCAATAAAATTATTCAGGTGCAACTACATCTTTAGTCAGTTCATTTATAGAGAGAGAGAGAGAAATGGGGTTTAACGTCCACTCGACACAAACTAGGTCATTTCGGGACTAACATATGGTTTAATTTTATTTACACAATTCGCTTGCGCGTAGGGGTCTTTAGCAGTGGCAGGAAACCGGAGGACCCGGAGAAAACCCACGAGGTTGGACAGGCGACCCTACTCCTTGCCACGTACAACCGAGGATTCGAAACCACGCCAGTCGACTCAATGACAGACTTTATGATACAGCGCGCGCACGCTAACCATTCAGCCATCCCCCCCCCCCTCTCAGTTCATTTATAACTTCGAGGTTCGATAACTGTAACCCCCTACTCGCAGCCTTCCAACTACGCTCATGGATAAACTTCGGAAGGTCCAAAACCCGGCCGCACGATTAATTTCTCGAACAAAATGCTCGTTACATATCACTGCTGTCTTATACTCTATACACTGGCAACCAATAAACATACACAATAGAATACTATATACATCTTATACTCTCCACACTGGCTACCAATAAACATACACAATATAATACTATATACATCTTATACTCTCCACACTGGCTACCAATAAACATACACAATAGAATACAATATAATATAATTGTTACTTGTGTTTAAAGTTCCCGCCATATCTTTCTCAGCTACTTGAATACTATAAACCTAATAGAAAACATAGATCTTCTACTAACTCATCAATACTTATACAACTGGTCATTCTATATACAAGCACCATTCGATGCTCTCCATATAGACATATTTATTTAAAAAGGCTCGTGATCCTATTATATAGATTATCCAGAGCTGTTTTATATATACTCAGCCAAATTAAAAACTTGACACTCGGGATTTTTGGGACTAGATTTTTAATATTTGGTTTAAGGCAACTATTTCAGTGTTATGTTGTGCACAGACGACCTTGACATCAACAGAAAGCAAGAATACGTCTCGCCAAAAGTCCTGACATTGATAACGTTCGTGATGTCACAGTACCCCCCAAAATGAAATTCACAGACTTGGAGAACAATCGGAATAAAGTGTTTAGTAACGGTTGTGGCCTCCTCTAGCGTCTCGTACTGCCACACAACGTCTTCTCATGGATCTCAGAACATAAGTAAACACTACCCGAGGAAGACGTCGCCACTGCTCAGCAAGAACATGTTGAAGGTCCTGCAACGTCAGTGGTGGATTCACTTGCTGACGTTCACCTCGTCTCCGGTACACTCGGACCCAGCCATCGGCAAATCTCAAAGTGAATCGAGATTCGTCACTAAAGACAACCGAATTCCACTGTCTTTGAGTAAATCTTATGTGTCTTGGTCCATTATAGGGCCTCTGAGCTCGAAGACCAGCAGCCTGCAAGCGATTTCGAACAGTTTGTGCAGTTACCCTTCCACCAAACATCTCTCTACTTGTGGAGGTTGCAGTGACAAATCTGTTTCTAAGATGACGTAATCGTATTGCTTGATCTTCCTGGAGTGACGTCACACGTGGCGCTCCCGCCCTTGGGCGGTCGGCAATAGTTCCAGTTTGAAGCACTCTCATTCTAAGATTAACTATTGTCTGGCGTGAACAATTAAAGGCTCTTGCAACAGTGACCACAGACTCACCAGCATAGAGCCTGCCTATAGCACGTAGACGTTCTACATTTGAAAGGCGCGGCATTTTCTAACAAAGATGAAAATAACAATTTTAATTTGTTTTTCCAGTTCAAGTTACGTGTGCGTGTTCAGTTTAAGCAAACTTGCATCGATTGACCTCATGAGTTTGTGTTTGCACGTGTTTTTCAGGTTTTTCATCTTTATATGCTCAAAAGTCACGTGATCCACGTGACTTTACAATTTTATGAAATTAAAGGCTTCTTACTACTTACTATCGTTAGAAACACTTTAAAATTTATTTGACTTACCAGAAAAAAAAATTTGTTGAAATTCATCAGTGTCAAGTTTTTAATTTGGCTGAGTATAGATTATACAGAGCTGTTTTATATAGATTATACAGAGCTATTTCTATTTCTAATTACACGTAAATAACAATATAGGCCTACTTTATCATGTAGGGTTGTTTTTTTGTGGTTTTTTGGGGGAGGGGGGGGTACTTCGTTTTATTATGTAAATGTAAGCTAATATGTCTTTGTAAAGTGCACATAGCACATTTATATGCCAACTGTTCGCCATAGAAATGTGTAATAATATACTCTTCAAAAAAAGTAGGGGATATTCAGAAACAATACAAAACTGCGGAAATGCACTGATGTTTTTATTAGAGGTAACCAGTGTATGTTAATAACAGGCCAATTGCCTACACATGAACATATGGTCGGCTTATCTGACGGCCCCATTTCACTCGCAAAGAGATACACTGTCAAACGTGAAAATGGGCGTTTTTGATTTTTGTCTTAATAATGAGTAATTGCTCCACATTCAGCAATTCGCCGTGGCATGCTCCTAATCAACCGTCCAATCAGGATTTGGGGCAATCTGACCCACTCCTCTTGCAGTGCCACGGCTAATTCTTGCAGTATTGTCGATTGACGTTGACGTTGACTTCGACGAACATGTCTCCCGATCAAATTAAACTAAAGAAAAGTTACGCTAAACAGTAAATCTTATGCATGAACCGATACCCGAAAGCAAACATGGATAGGATAAACCAGCACACGGCAGTTTTCGTCAACCCTTCCTTGAAGTGCTAAATTTGACAATGAACCCCTGCACGTGTAGGCCTATGGCGCTAAATAAATATTGCTGCCGCAAGTGCAGCTGAGTGGTTCCTGTTGGGGCGATAAGTTCTTCATCTGTGAACATACTCTCAAAGCATGTCAAGTGTCCATGACTATTTATCTTTTATCACAACCTACATAGGTATTTGCATTTCAATATCCCCTATTTTTTTTTTTTTTTTTTTTTTGAAGAATTATTAATAATAATCATACTGTGGTCTGTATCCTTACTTTGTATGGTATTTCTTACCTCCCCTAAATTTCTCTCAAAATTCAGAGGTAAATAATTGAATGACTAAAAACCAACCTGTTTATCTTCTGTTGTATGCATTGAACTTGTCCAAGTGGCAGTTTGAAATAGCGCTCCTCCCAACCCAACACTGGTTAATTGGATGTAACTCTACAGATAAGATCTATGTTTCGCGTGTATATTTGGTGGTGTTAAATGTGATGTCTCTGATCAAATCAAAGCACAAAATAGGTGCTGGCTTCTGCACATGAAAAAGTGTGTGGACTAATAAAGAGAGTTATCTCCCTTCAAACACCAATCGAACCTGTGATAATAGGTTTCTTAATGATTGAATCAATTAAAAAATTTAAATATTATAAATATGTTTAAGAATGCGGGGTCTGCTGAGATCTTGCGATCACAGCAGAAAGATGAACAATATTTGACATTCCTGAGATCTACGATAGCAGACAATTGCCAAACGCTAGCAGGTGGGTGGCTTTATTATTGTTTTTGTTCGGATTATTATTCTTCTTCTTCTTATTATTATTATTATTTTTAGGGTTTCACACTGCGTAGCTTGTGTGAAACACTATTGTTTTTGTTCGGATTATTATTCTTATTATTATTTTTTTTTTTTCCATTTTGATCATAGCTCAGAAACTACTTGTCGGATTGATCCAATTTCTTCGGTTTCTCTAGGAAAGTGGGTGTGACTTAGAGATTAAAGCTATTTTGAACGTTCTGTGACAATGCGAAATGTCCGAAATCACCGAAGTGGTTAATTTTTGAAATTTTGTCGTAACATTTACAATAATTGCCGGATTTTAACATTTGATACATTTTGACATAGGCAGAGACCAGGCAGATAGCTACGGATCTTTAGATTTTTGATTTTCGATGAATCTTCGGAGATATTAGGCGCCAAATTTTGAAAATTTAAATTTTTACAATTTTTTTGGGCAGAGGATATTCGCCATTCGAATGGCAAAGAGTTATTCGCCATTCGTTTACGTTATTTGCCATTCGTTTTCGTTATTTGCCATTCTTTTTATTTAAATCGATATTCTCTGTCCTATCACGATGTCTGGTCGAGGGGTAATGCTACCAACCACTTAAACTAGTTTAACTTCGTCCTACAAAATGCACATACATCATTTTCGTTGCAGTAAAAATGCGAAAATAACTACTACAACAAACGTTGTTCGACACAGTGCCCTTGGAGGTCTATTTATAGCCTAGCGGTGACTACCCGAAAACGTACCATACTTTATGACCTGTCTTTGAAAGGTTTAAATAAGATAAAATAGTTTTATTCAAATATATGGATTGCAAATAAACAGTGGTTGAAAATGAAAAGTTCGGGTAGATAAAAAAAAATGAAATAAAATCCTGGTGCTAAATATGAAAAATAGAAACGAATGGCACAAAAAGACGAGAGATATGTACAATAAGATAATAATAAAATACTTCATATTTTTACCTGTCTGTCTTTGGTAATGTTTTATTTTATGTTGATATTCACTGTATACCCTGATGGGACACACATCATGGAGAGAGAGAGAGAGAGAGAGAAGGGAGAGAGAGAGTCGGTTCGCCATACGTCCGTTCGAAACAAACTAGGTAAATTCTAGCGCGGAATCAAAACCACGCTACTTGACTGTATAACACCTTCTGATCCAAGGCGCACGCATTAATCCCCCCCCCCCACCAGACATGTTTGGGGCACGCTAAAGTGTGGGCCACGATGGCTCAGTCAGTTTGTGACATTCTAATTTGAGTTTTGGCGTGGTTTCGATTCACCTGTTGTACGTGACAAGGAGTAGGGTCGCCTGTCCAACCCCATGGGTTTTCTCCGGGTAATATCACTGCTAACGTCTAAAGACCCCTACGCTCTGGAATTATTCAAATAAAAAAATGTAACCCTATGTGTTAGTCCCAAAATGACCCTCTCTCTCATTCCAGTTTCATATGAGGGAAATTTTGCCCGGATACGCCAATGTATACACCTGTCCTCGTTTTTTTCGTGCCATCCGAGCGACTACACAGCTGTCCTTGACAGACCCTCTGTCCTGCACCACTGACAAGGGGAAATAGCCGAAACAAATTATGATCATGCCTAAGAAATATATCGTTTTGAGTACACAGAGACGAGGTATGCGAAGCCGGTCGCTTAAAGAAACATTCATGATTCCAGAAAAAATGTCACTGTGTATTAAACTGACTATAAATTTTCTAAATTTTATGCCGAATTTTAATCCCTTAGTCAATTTTAAGAAATTACGATCTCATCCCTGGCTGGTACGCCTCTGTGAGTAGATGTAAATGAATTATATTATTATGTTTGACAATAAAACACACGGTTGAGAAAGCAATGTAGGCTATGCGTAGCAAATGAATACGGGATGCCAATAAAGAAATCGCGGGGGGCAATGTTTAGCACGTGTGCGCTGTATCATAAGGTCTGTCATAGAGGTCTCGCTCTCTCTCTCTCTCTCTCTCTCTAGTTTGAAATGGAAGGTATAAATAGAAACATACGGGTGGCAAATATAACACGCAGTTGGAAAAGAAATGTATTGGGTAGGAACTGAAATATACGAATGGTATATAGATAGAATATGCAGTTGGCAATGAAATAATATGGGTAGCCTACTCCGGGTGGTAAGCGGGCGGGAACTCAGATCAGGTTAGAACAATTTTAATCAGCCTCTGCTGCTTTCGCAGGAATGAAATTAGATTAAGTTTGTATTGTATCTACTTTGTGATAAACAAATGCGTTTTCAATGTATTAGTAAAGATTCAAAATTTCACAGAATACAGAACTTTTCACATGTGTGCTACTTCCATCAACACACGATGACGGTTTCGCTGTATACGCTTCGCTGTGAACGAAGATGTTCATATGCACTTTGAAGCTTTAAATAACAAATGACAATTAAAAAGGGATTCTGGGTCTGTATTTTGAATAAAAGCACAAACAATCTGCAAGAATGTTAGGTTTATTATATAAAACGAATGGCGAATAACCATCCTTATGGTGAATATCCACTCCGATTTTTTTTTTATTAATGAATATTTCTTTATGGTATTTTATCCAGGGCTAAATGGTCATCTGATTTGAGAAAAAATGTGAAGAATTTTTTTCTCAGTAATTTGCGTTAGCCGTCATTGGCTAATTCAGTTTTTCGGTCCTAGATTGATTATTTATTGTTCGATTTGTTTAAAACAAAGTTCATATGCTCCATTTTCCGAAATGTCATTTTTTTTGTTACCGATAGAGTTATCTGTCGACATCGGAAGTGACATAATTTTAACAAAAACTATAATTTTGACAGTTCGGTACCACTTTTTGAAAGCAAATATTATTTTTTCAAAATTTGATATTACCAAAAGGATGCGCCATGCAAATGTGCACAAAACATCGGGCTCAGTTTTCTTAATTTCGATTTCGATTAAAAGGTGAAAAACGGTGCAAAATTAAGCAATTTACAACCCATTCAGTGTCTTCATATTTTAAAATATTTCTTCGTAACTTTCATAAACTCGTAGCAGTATTCCATACGAAGAGAATGTATGTGAAAATAAATATGTAATATGCGCAGTTCCCGAGAAATAGGCAAGTTTGCATGCGTCATTTTTCACATTATTTTGCCTGTAAAAAGGGAAATTATCATTCGATTTTCAATTTGATTTTACCATTTGATGCCTAATGCCAATTTTGACTAGGTCAAGCCAAATTAACAATTTTACTATCACCATAAATGACGTCATTTTGTCAAAAACTGTATTTTTAGCTTTCAAGACAGATATTTTATTCAAATGAGTCTGATCTGTAATGTTTTTAACATTATGATATTTGATTCTGATCAACAAATAGGATTAACCTATACGATCATACAGATACCACAAAAACGTTTCTAACTTGTACGGTTGCAGAGAAATAGACGATTTTCTTCAAGTCACTTTTCAAGGCTTTTGGTCTATAAAAGTGCAAATTAATATTCGATTTTCATAAAATTTTCACCATGTGATGCCTTATGTCATTTATGATTACATAAAACTAGTTTAACATTTTCATTATCACCGGAAGTAATGTCATTTGGGCAAAAACTATAATTTTAGCTTTCAAAACACATATTTTTTTGAAGTGAGTTATATTTGTTATTCGTTTAACAATTTTTATATTTGATTCCAATGGACATATAGATTGGATCAATACGATCATATAGATGTCCAAAAATGGCTTCAGGTATCTTCCCTTGTCGAGAATTAACCAATTTTGTCAAGATGACTTTTATAGATTTTTTTCCCATTTTAATTTCCCATTAGAAAGTTAGCTATCTTATCGGTAAGTTAGTAACAAATTTTGTCAGGATCACTTTTTTGACATATGTAACACATGGTAACAAATGTATAGATGTAATTGATATTGCTAGATTTGGTTGATTCTGCATCTATTTGTGCAATGCTTATGTGGAAATCTGTTTAACGGTTTCATTGATACCCGAAGTGACATAAGTTCAAGGATAAGGTGGCACCTGAAGTAACATAAGTTCAAGGGTATTGTGGCACCTGTGAAACCCGTCATTACTGCTTCGCAGTTCTAGTGATGATTGTTTTTACCAAATAAACAATCATCCAACACGTTGGCCGTTTTATTTTCCACTTGAGTATATCTCAGAAATTACTTGTCGGATCGATCCGATATCTTTGGTTTTACGGGTAAGATGGCATGACTTAGAGATTAAATCTATTTAGAACATTCTGCAACAGTGCGAAATGTCCGAAATCACCGAAGTTGTTTTTTTTTAAAATATTGCCGTAACATTAACAATAATATTCGGATTTTAACATATGATACATTTTTACATAACCACAAACAATGCATATAGCTACGGGTCTTCAGATATTAGGCGCCAAATTTTGAAAATTTAAATTTTTACAAAAAACTTTTTTATTAATGAATATTTCTTTATGATATTTTATCCAATGCTAAAGGGTCGTCTGATTTGAGCAAAAATGTCAACAAATTTTGTCTAGATATTTTGTCTGTAAAGGGGTCAATTATTTTTAGATTTTCAGCTTTTTTTTACCATTTGTGACCTTTTGCCAATTTTGACTAGGTCAAACTAATTTAACATTTTCACTGTCACCGGAAATGACATCATTTGGGCAAAATCTGTATTTTTAGCCAGAAAATAAGATATTTTATTGAAATGGTTCTTATTTGTAATGTTTTTAAAATTATGATATTAGAATAAACCCATACAATCATACAGATACCACAAAATGGTTTCTAACTTGTACGGTTGAAGAGAAGTAGACGATTTTCTACAAGTCACTTTTCATGGTTTTTGGCCCGCAAAAGTGTCAATTATTATCAGATTTTCATAAATTTTTACCATGTGATGCCTTATGCCATTTAGGATTTTATAGAACTAATTTAACATTTTCATTATCACCGGAAGTAATGACATTTTGGCAAAAACTGTATTTTAAGCCTTCAAAACAAATATTTTTTTTGAAGTGGGTTATATTTATTATTTGTTTAACAATATGATATTTGATTCCAATGGACATATAGATTGGATCAATATGATCATATAGATGTCAAAAAATGCTTCTAATATCTTCCCTTGTCGAGAAATAACCAACGTTTATGGGGAAATCTGTTTATCGGTTTCATTGGTTCTGGAAGGGATATGAGTTCAAGGGTAACGTGACACCGAAAGTGACATAAGTTCAAGGGTAACGTGGCACCGGTGAAACCCGTCATTACTGCTTCGCAGTTCTAGTTAATATTAAAGTAGCTAGGTGTCTAGCTAACTCACTATCCAAAGTCTTACACGTTAAAAATTCGAATTATTTGTCAATTCAAATCAAAATTGATGTTGTGATTTTACCAGGAAAAAGTAAGCTTCTGATATCCAATATTTAAGACAAAATAATTTTTTTTACCAAATACGTAATCGTGTACATAGTGCGTTTCAGTGTCATTTGTAAAAAGTGACCAAAAAGAACGAGGCTAGACATATTGCACAACTCATGTCAAACACTGACGTCATATCTTATCTGGAGGGCATGCGCAATAGACTTGAATAACCAGAGGTTAGAAATTCCTATTCGTTTGAGACTCATGCCGTATTTCGCTGGATAACACAGAGGCCGCGGAGTTATTTCCGAAGTGGGGGGGTCTGACAATAATAATTGAGGGACGAATTCCCGAAAACGAAGCGTGGTTATGCGACGCGAGAGGGTATTGCTGGAGGCGCCGCAGGCGCCAGAAGAAATTTGAAAATTTTGAAACTTTGATGTGATTTTTATACGCCCACATTTTCATGTGGACGTATTATGCCGTCGCCCCTGTCCGTCCGGACGTCCACAATTGTTTGTGGACTCTCTACAGGTCACAATTCTTATCCGAATTTGACGAAACTTGAAATATAGGTTTATCCCCAAAAGATCTCGGCTGCTTTCGATATTGGCATATATCAGATCGAAACTTCATGGATTATGGCCCCTGATTGTACGAAAAATCACATTTTTAACTTGTGGACCCTATAGAGGTCACAATTTTCATCTGATTTTGCTGAAACTTGACATGCATGTTTATAACCAGAAGATCTCGGTTCCTGTTGATATTTCTGCATATCGGATCCTAACTTCCTGAATTATGGCCCCTTATTGTACGTAAACTCGCGTTTTTAGCCAGTGTTCCCTCTAGAGGTCATAATTATTATCTGATTTTTAAAAAGAATGTTTGAATATATCACCGTTACATCGTAATATCAGATGAGTTCGAATTTCGTGAAAATCGGACCAAAGCTGTCGGACAAAATGGCCGCCCCTCATACGCAAATAGTGAGAAACACGGTGTATCAAGGTTGTGGACACTCTAGAGGTCACAATTTTGATCTGATGTTGATGAAACTTGAAATACATGTTAATAACCCAAAGATCTTGGTTCTTGTCGATATTCGCGCATATCAGACTTCCTGAATTATGACCCTTGATTGTACGAAAAATCCCTCACAGCACACTGTATGGCGTATGCCCGTTTTCATTTGCGCAGTTCGGAGCAGAACACTTAGGATGTTAAACCCCATTTCATTTCATTTCATTTGTATGAAAAATCGCGTTTTTAGCTTGTGGTTCCTCTAGACATCACAATTTAAAAAAAAAACGTTTGAATATATCACCATTACACCCTAATGAAGGTGGAGTTTGAATTTCGTGAAAATCGGACCAAAACTGCCGGACAAAATGGCCGCCCCTCGTACCGTACGTAAATAGTGTAAATATATGGTGCATGTATATCAAGGTTGTGGACCCTCTAGAGCTCATAATTTTGATCCGATTTTGACGAAACTTAACTTATGTTTATATCACAGAGATCTTGGTTCCTTTCGATAATCGCACATATCCGAACGTAAATTCCTGGAATATATGGCCCCTGATTGTCCGCTAGAAGTCACATCATCCAGAACGTGTGTTATATAACAACGATTGATTGTTTTAACAAGTTTTAAATAAAACTAATCACCGAGAATACATGTATAGATGTAGCTGTAATTAAATTTCTTCAATCTTGGTTGTCATCATTTATTTTTTCAATTTGTCAAATTTTGATCTTAAAATTTATTTATTTTAAAAATTATATACCTATATATACGGTATATTTTATTTGCATTTAAGGCCATTTTTATAATTCCAATACTTGCAGGCGCTAGATTTTGGATAAAATGGAGGAAAGAACTGGATGTTTTATCAGATTTGGGATATTTCATATTAACCACGTTAGCAGGTAAGTTAAATACCAACTGATACCACCTCTTGTAATTTGGAGCAAGAAGATTCTACTGTAAGTGCAGGAGGACCACACTACACACAAAACAAAATCTACAAGATAAACCTGCGGACAGGACACGCGACATAGACAAGTGAATGGGTCCGGGGACCAGCCGTAAGCGTCCACTGAACTGTACAGTCTCAGGCTTGTTATAGCACAGGATTCACGTAAAAGGGTAGCGGCAACAATCGTGATAGGCTGCCAGTCTACAAGTGAATAATAATAAATTAAATGTTCTTCTATTTAAGGATATCAAACAATAGGGGAAGAATATGTCAACATTGTCCAAGTGGATTCTTCTAAACGACGTCTGCCGACATTAGGGGTAAGTATAGTTTTATCTACACATAGAACACTGTGAGGAAATATGTAAGTGTCATGATTTCCAAATTATTTCAAATTTATAGGATAACGAAGCGTTATAAATTGCTAAAAAACGTAAATAAAAAAAACCACTTACTAAAGCAAACATTGTTCGCCTCAACACTTGAGAATTCCAATTTTGGTGAAGGTGGACTGACTATTGTCTTGTAGGTGGACTGACTATTGTCTTGTAGGTGGACTGACTATTGTCCTTTAGGTGGACTGACTATTGTCCTGTAGGTGGACTGACTGTTGTCTTGTAGGTGGACTGACTATTGTCCTGTAGGTGGACTGACTATTGTCCTATAGGTGGACTGACTGTTATCACTTAAAGTTATTAACTTCTGGTTTGGCGGCTCGCACTACATATCGGCGTAGCCCCCACACACACGCACACACACACACAAATTATAACGTGCTAAGTCACATTTATTGACTTCACATTAACATATTAGTTCTAATGTGAAGCAGTCTTTGGTTCCTGAAACTCTGGATATCATTTTCAAATAGCTTTCCATTTCTTGTATCTTTTAAATATAATATACTATTCAAAAAAAGTAGGGGATATTTGATTTTTAAGTGTTATTAAAGTCACCTAATGAAACTGACGAAGAAACAAATGACAAAATGAAATGAAGTTCACATTCATCGATTTATTCCAAATGATCGTTAGACTAAGTAAGGCACAGACTGACCATTATAAGGGTAAAATGATACCCGGGGTCAAACAGCAAAGTTACCACAGCATCACAACCAAGTCAGTAACGGGTAAATCCTCCTCTGTTTGCCAAACAAGCATTGATCCGACGTGGCATACTCCTAATGAGACGTCTAAGGTCATTTTGGTCCAGATTGTCCCATTCCTGTTGCAACGCAGCAGCAAGTTCTTGGACATTGGCAGGACGTTGTTGACGTTGACGTAACCTCTGTCCAAGCATGTCCCAGACATGCTCGATGGGGGAGAGGTCGGGACTCAGTGCTGGCCAAGGTAATGTGGTGATGTTCTGTTGTTGGAGGTAACCTGTAACGATCCTGGCCCTGTGACATCTTGCGTTGTCATCCTGGAAGATGAAACGGCGGCCATGACGTCGTGCGAACGGCACAACATGGACTGCCAAGATGTTGTCCCGGTAGTACTGGCCTGTAACACGCCCTGCAACAACATGTAAAGCCGTTCTTCCAGCAACAGTGATGCCTCCCCACACCATAACAGAACCACCCCCAAATCGATCATGTCTGATGACGTTAACGTCTTGGAAGCGCTCGTTTCGATGACGCCACACCCTTCTACGTCTGTCCAAAAAATCAACAGTGAACCTTGACTCATCTGAAAACATCACATTGCTCCAGCGTCGATTATCCCAGTGTTGACGATCCCTACACCAACGACGTCTTGCCTGAATGTGATGATCTCTCAAACAAGGGATCACGCGAGGACGTCGGGTGCGAAGGTGACCCCTATGCAGTCGATTCCGAATCAACTGGCCACTCACTCTCACACCAGTGTCTGTTTGAAGACGAGCGCTGATCTGATTTGCTGTGATGACACGATTTCTCAAGGCCAAGGTACGGATAAATCGATCCTGGGCTTGAGTTGTCGCCCTTGGTCGACCTGAGCGTGGTCTGTCCTGTACAGATTGTGTATCACGGTATCTGGACCATAGCCTGCTTATGACAGACTGAGAAACATTCATCGTCCGCGCCACAACCGCCTGTGTTGTGCCGATCTGTAGCATGCCAAGGGCACGTAACCTTTCTTTATGGGTAAGCCGACGCATATCAAAATTTGTTTTCTGGTCACTAAAACAATTAAACTGATGTTTCCACCCTGGAATTCAATGCCACAATGACTGTAACATTCAAAGTCAGAGTCGTGCAAATCTTGGGTTGGACCCCCATGATGATCCCAAGCATCACCTGCATTCCATGCGGAAGCTATTGGTGCGTTTGGGCGTCACATGTAACTGGAAATGTTTCTTCTGTTAGGTTCTATAGTGACTTTTTTCGTAGTCATTTGCATATTTTAGTATTATGCCCCCAAAATCAAATATCCCCTACTTTTTTTGAATAGTATATATTATATATTTTAGAGACGATTATTAATGGTGATATTGTATGTCAGCAGTCCGTATCTTCTACAAAAGACGTTGAAGAACGTAGAAAAATGTTTGGAGAGATCAAGACAGCAATCAGTTGAATTTAAACAAGCTCTGCTCAACACCATTCCCTTTATCAGAAATGTATTTCTATACCTACATCGATTACATTTAGGTATATTTTATCTGCATGGTGCCTTTTATCATCTCGCTAAACGCCTTACTGGAGTGACATATGTGAGTATCGCTTCTTTTCTTTGTGTAAATATTCCAACACTGATTAAAAACACAAACCCTTATATGAAAACATAGTATCTGTCTGATACTTGACAGATGGTGTCCCTAGCATGACACTATGTATTGTTTTATAAGCAGAAAGAATCTTGAACACTATTGATTGTTTTATATATATATATATATATATATAATAAAAGGTTGATTGTTTTATATATATATATATATAATAAAAGGTTATAGTTAAAGCTACACTTAGGTGTTAGATATTCGAAATAAAGATGTTTTAGGAAAAATTTGTTGGAAAGCTTAATAAAGCGGAAAGTACTCGCAAAAACCTAGTTTTTTTTCCTAAAACATCTTTATTTCGAATATATATATATATATATATATATATATATATATATATATATATATATATATATATACACACACAAGCTACAATTCGTTATTTGAAGTTTATTGTTCATGTCACTATCATTATGAACCTGATCCCTATCACATTTGGTGTGTAGATTCGATAAATATTGTCAGACATTTGGACTCAGACATAATCGCTCTACAGCTACAAGTTTTTTGGGTGAAAATATGATTATGAAGACTAGCTCTATCGATTTTAATAAAGATTCATTCAAATAGCAATGTGTACCAACCCATGTTCACTCTGTAGGCTATAATTTATTGATTCCGCTCCTGAGTTATTCCCAAACCTTGTGGACAGGACATGGGCTACAGATTTTAACTGGTTGGGGTTTTTTTGTCAAATTTAGTGTAAATCCTTAAGACCTATCGATATTCAGCGTTCCGCAACCTTTTCCCAAACCCTTGTGAACAGGATAGAGGTTACAGGCTCACCACAGATTTTGTCTGTCAAATTTGGTGTGAATTATTGTGGGGTCATTGGAGAGAGCTAATTAGCCATCTTCTATAGCCAATATGAAATGATATATTTTAACTCGTCACGATTACTTTAATTATAGCTATAATAAAACCCAGATTAAATTTGATATTCTGTCTTCTCCATTATTCTCATTTTAGATTCAATACCTAAGCAAATCATCGGGGTCTGGATCATCCACAACATTTAAACTTCTAGGCTGGTTATCATTGTGTCAGTTAGGACTGACTATTTCATTACAGTTGTACAAGTTGTATATATCTTCATCAAACAATCATTCTATAAACATGTTACCAAGGTTTGTTTAACTTTCTCTATATATAATAAAACAAAATAAACAAAATCAGTGATGTATATGGAAGTGTAGCATACAAGTTAACATTTCTTAAATATTAATTACAGGTCATCATCCTCCTGTCAACCAGTTCCAGTCAATAAAATATGTTCTTTGTGTTTAGAAGTTCGACTAAACCCAACATTGACACCATGTGGTCATTTGTTTTGTTGGAATTGTATTCATTCGTGGTGTCAAACAAAGGTAAATAAAATCTAATACAGCTATTTAAAAGTTATCTCTGTGTGATCTGATCCAGCTAACAACCACATAACAAGCATATAGACTCAGTTATCCAATAACTGATGCTGTTCTCCTTTAAACTACATGACTGTCGTGGAAGCTTATTACGGTCTACCAAGTGTTTCGGCATCAGAAATAAACTACATGACTGTCGTGGAAGCTTATTACGGTCTACCAAGTGTTTCGGCATCAGAAATCTAATTCCAAAATATAGTGAGACGGGGGATATTTATTTTCGAATTAACAATTAATGTGGTATCTGTCTTGTTAAATTTTTATAAGCCCACATTTTTATGTGGATGTATATTGTCGTCGCCCCTGTCCGTCCGGACGTCCGTCCATCCGTCTGTCCACAATTTGTTTGTGGACACTCTACAGGTCACAATTTTTATTCGATTTTGACGAAACTTAAAATATAGGTCTATCTCCCAAAGATCTCAGTTCCTTTCGATATTGGCGGATATCGGACCATAACTTCATGGATTATGGCCCCTCATTGTACGAAAAATCACGTTTTTAGCTTGTGGACACTCTAAATGTCACAATTTTTATCTGATTTTGATGAAACTTGAAATACATGTTTATAACCCAAAGATCTTGGTTCCTTTCGATATATTAAACCTGATTGTACAAAAAATCCTGTTTGTTTTTAGCTTGTTCTCTACCCATCTCTTGCAAAATGTGGACGTATCCTGCCGGGCAGTCTTTTTTTTTGTGTAAAACATATAATATACAGATCTCCTGTACTTATTATAAAATAATGGTGAAAATCATATAAATTAAATAATTTATATACACACTATTTAAAACAAATAAAAACTAGAACTGCGAAGCAGTAATGACAGGTTTCACCTGTGCCACGTTACCCTTGAACTTATGTCACTCCCGGTGCCACGTTATCCTTGAACTTATGTCACTTCCAGTATCAATGAAACCGTTAAACAGATTTCCACATAAGCATTGCACAAATAGATGCAGAATCAACCAAATCTAGCAATATCAATTGCATCTATACATTTGTTACCATGTGTTACATATGTCAAAAAAGTGATCCTGACAAAATTTGTTACTAATTACCGATAAGTTAACTAACTTTATTATGGGAAATTAAAATGGGAAAAAAATCTGTAAAAGTCATCCTGACAAAATTGGTTATTTCTCAACAAGGGAAGATGCTAGAGGCCATTTTTAGACATCTATATGTCCATTGGAATCAAATATCATAATGCTAAACCAATAATAAATATAACTCACTTCAAAAAAATATTTGTTTTGAAAGCTAAAAATACAGTTTTTGTCCAAATGACATTACTTCCGGTGATAATAAAAATGTTAAAATTAGTTCTATGAAATCGTGACATAAGGCATCACATGGTGAAAATTGTATGAAAATCGAATAATAATTTACACTTTCATAGACCAAAAACCTTGAAAAGTGACTTGAAGAAAATCGTCTATTTCTCTGCAACCGTACAAGTTAGAAACGTTTTTATGGTATCTGTATGATCGTATGGGTTCATTCTATTTGTTGATTGGAATCAAATATCATAATTTTAAAAACATTACAGATCAGATTCATTTGAATAAAATATCTGATTTGCGATGATAGAAAAATGTTAAATTGGCTTGACCTAGTCTAAATTGACATAAGGCATCAAATGGTAAAAACAAATTGTAAATCGAATGATACTTGACTCTTTTACAGGCAAAATAATTTGAAACATGGCGCATGCAAAAATTGCCTATTTCTCGGCAACCGCTCAGATTACAAACTAATTTTCACATACATTCTCTTGTATGGATTATTGTTACGAGTTTATAAAAGTTACAAAGAAATATTTTATAATATGAAGACGCTGAATGGGTTGTAAATAGCTTAATTTTACACCGTTTTTCACCTTTTAATCGAAATAGCCCGAAAACGAAATCGAAATTAAGAAAACTGAGTCCGATGTTTTGTGCACATTTGCATGGCGCATCCTTTTGGTAATATCAAATTTTGAAAAAATAATATTTGCTTTCAAAAAGTGGTACCGAACTGTCAAAATTACAGTTTTTGTTAAAATTTTGTCACTTCCGATGCTGACAGATAACTCTATCGGTAACAAAGAAAAATGACATTTTGGAAAAAGGAGCATATGAACTTTGTTTTAAACAAATCGAACAATAAATAATCAATCTAGGACCGAAAAACTGAATTAGCCAATGACGGCTAACGCAAATTACTGAGACAAAAATTGTTCACATTTTTGCTCAAATCAGATGACCATTTAGCCCTGGATAAAATATCATAAAGAAATATTCATTAATAAAAAATTTTTTGTAAAAATTTAAATTTTCAAAATTTGGCGCTTAATATCTCTGAAGATTCATCGAAAATCAAAAATCTAAAGACCCGTAGCTATGTGCCTAGTCTCTGGCTATGTCAAAATGTATCAAATGTTAAAATCCGGCAATTATTGTTAATATTACGGCTATATTTAGAAAAAAACAACTTCGGTGATTTCGGAAATTTCGCATTGTTGCAGAATGTTCGAAATAGATTTAATCGCTAAGTCATGCCATCTTTCCTGAAAAACCAAAGATATCGGATTGATCCGACAAGTACTTTCTGAGATATACTCAAGTGGAAAATAAAACGGTCAACGTGTTGGATGATTGATTTTTTGGTAAAAACAATCATCACTAGAACTGCGACGCAGTAATGACGGGTTTCACTGGTGCCACGTTACCCTTGAACTTATGTCACTTCCGGTGCCTCGTTACCCTTGAACTTATGTCACATTCGGTACCAATGAAACCGTTAAACAGATTTCAACGTAAGCATTGCACACGTGTTATGAAATGGACGCAGAATCAACCAAATCCAGCAATATCAATTCCATTTATACATTTGTTACCATGCGTTAGATTTGTCAAAAATTTGATCCTGACAAAATTTATTACTAACTTACCACTAAACAGATTTCAACGTAAGCATTGCACACGTGTTATGAAATGGACGCAGAATCAACCAAATCCAGCAATATCAATTCCATTTATACATTTGTTACCATGCGTTAGATATGTCAAAAATTTGATCCTGACAAAATTTATTACTAACTTACCACTAAGTTACTACTAAGTTAGCTGACTATCTAATGGGAACTTAAAATGTGAAAAAAGTCTTAAAAAGTGATCCTGACAAAATTGGTTATTTCTCGACAAAGAAAGATGGTAGAAGCAATTTTTGGACATCTACATGATCGTATTGATCCAATCTATATCTCCATTGGAATCAAATATCATAATGTTAAACAAATAATAAATATAACTCACTTCAAAAAATATTTGTTTTGAAGGCTAAAAATACATTTTTTGCCAAACGACAATACTTCCGGTGATAATGAAAATGTTAAATTAGTTCCATGAAATCATAAATGGCATCAGGCATCACATGCTGAAAATTTTATGAAAATCAAATAATAATTGACACTTTTATAGACCAAAAACCTTGAAAAGTGACTTGTAGAAAATCGTCTATTTCTCTGCAACCGTAAAAGTTAGGAACCATTTTGTGGTATCTGTATGACCGTATTGATTCATTCTATTTGTTGATTGCAATCAAATGTCATAAATTTAAAAACATTACAAATCAGACTCCTCTGAAAAAAATATCTGTTTTGAAGGCTATAAATACAGTTTTTGCCCATATGACGCCATTTCCGGTGACACTGAAAATGTAAAATTGGATCGGCCCAGTCAAAAATGGCATTAGGCATCATATGGTGAAAAAAAAAAGAAAATCGGATTAAATTAACTCTTTTACAGGCAAAATAATGTGAAAAGTGACTCATGCAAAATTGCCTATTTCTCGGCAACTGCTAATATTACAAACTAATTTTGACATAAATTGTCATCGTATGGATTAATGCTACAGGTTCGTGAAAGTTGTCAAGAAATATTTTAAAATATGAAAAATCTGAATGCATTGTAAATAGCTCATTTTTACACCTTTTTTCAGCTTTAAATCAAAATGATGCAAATGCAAAACCGAAATAAAAAAAACAAAACAAAGAAAGACATATTTTGTGTCTTTAGTATGCGCATTCATCTTGATCTATTAGATTAGTAAACATTAATATTTGCTTTTTAAAAGACCCTTCGACACGTCAAAATTGAAGTTTTGGGCAAAATTACGTCACTTCCGGTGCCGTCAGAAACTTTTATATGTAGAAGTAAGTTGAGAATTTGCACCAGGTGGGCGTTTCTTTTACACAAATCAGGCAATAAATAATTAACCCAGAAACCATACACTGAAATTAAAATGCGAAAAATCATAAAAAGTGATCCTGACAAAATTGGTTAATTCTCGGCAAGGGAAGGTGTTAGAAACTATTTTGTGATATCAATATGATCGTATTGATTGATACTATTTGTCAATAGGAATCAAATATCATAATTTTACACCAATAATGAATATCGCTTACTTCAAACAATTACTTGTTTTAGAGGCTAAAAATACAGTTTTTGACAAACTGACGGTACTTCCGGTGATAATGAAAATACTAAATTACTTGGATGAAATCGTAAATGGCGTTAGGTATCACAAAGTGAATTTTTTATGAAAATCGAATAATAATTGTCGCTTTTATGGACCAAAAACCTTGAAAAGTGACCTGCTGAAAATCGCCTATTTCTCCGCAACTGAACAAGTTAGAAAACATTTTGTGATATCTATATGGTCGTATGGGTTCATTCTATTAGTTGATTGGAATCAAATATCATAATTTTGAAAACATTACAAACCAGACTCATTTGAATAAAATATCTGTTTTGAAGGCTATAAATACATTTTTTACCCAAATGCCGTCATTTCCGGTGACATTGAAAATGTTAAATTGGTTTGAACTAGTCTAAATTGACATTACGCATCAAATGGTGTCATTTTTATGAAATAATAATTGGCTCTTATACAAGCAAAATAGAAAAAAAAGTGACTCATGCAAAATTGACCATTTCTCGGCAAATACTCATATTACAAAATAATTTTGACATAGATTCTCTTCGTATGGATTAATGCTACAAGTTTATGATAGTTGCGAATAAATATTTTGAAATATGAAAAGCCTGAATGGGTTGTAAATAGCTCATTTTTACACCCTTTTTCACCTTTAAATCCAAATGGCGCAAATACAAAATCAAAATTAAAAAAAGCGAGTCGGACATTTTGTGCGCCTTTTGTAGGGGCATTTATCTTGATCTATCAGATTTGCAAAAATCAACATTTGCTAGTGAAAAGACGTTCTGACTCGACAAAATTGGAGTTTTTAGCAAAATTGCGTCACTTCCGGTGCCGATAGAAAACTTTACCGGTAATGAAAAAATTGAGAATTTGCACCATGGAGCATATAAACTTTGTTTTATAAAAATCGGGCAATAAATAATTAACCTAGAACCGATAAACTGAATTAGCCAATAGCGACCAAGAAAAATTATCGAGACAAAAAATGTTCACATTTTTGATCAAATCAGACGACCCCTTAACCCTGGGTAAAATGCCATAAAAAATTATTCTTTAATAAAAAAGTTTTTTTGTCAAAATTTGGCGCCTAATATCTCCGAAGATTCGTCGAAAATCAAAAATCTATACTACCGTAGCTATGTGCCCTGTCTCAGGCTATGTCAAAATGTATCCAATGTTAAAATCCGACGATTATTGTTAATATTACTGCAATATTTCAAAAAACGACAACTTTGGCGTTTCGGACATTTCGCATAGTCGCAGAACGTTCGAAATAGCTTTAATCTCTAAGTCACACCCACTTTCCCAGTAAAACCGAAGACATCGAATTGATCCGACAAGTAGTTTCTGAGATATGCTCAAGTGGAAAAAAAAAATAATAAGAAGAAGAAGAATCTTAACAAAAACAATAGTGTTTCACACAAACTACGCAGTGTGAAACCCTAAAAAGAGGAAGTGCTGTTTTATTACATGATAAAAGGGTTCTATAAATAGAATCAGATATTGATCCATGAACTATATTAAAGATGTTATTAGATGTAGCCTTATTATTTATACCGAAAAGAAGTGGTTTAATTGATTGCTGGTGTCATGGTAAAAATATGCCATATTTTTTTACACTGTTTGCGTACGAGGGGCGGCCATTTTTCGTACAATCAGGGGCCATAATTCAGGAAGTTACGGTCCGATATGCGCGAATATCGAAAGGAACCGAGATCTTTGGGTTATAAACTTCCATTTCAAGATTCATCAAAATCAGATAAAAATTGTGACCTCTATAGGGTACACAAGCTAAAAACGTGATTTTTTGTACAATCAGGGGCCATAATCCATGAAGTTTTGGTCCGATACATGCCAATATCGAAAGCAACCGGGATCTTTTGGAGATAAGCTTCGTCAAAATCGGACAAGAATTGTGACCCGTAGAGTGTCCACAAACAATTGTGGACGGACGTCCGAACGGACAGGAACGACGACAATATACGTCCACATGAAAATGTGGACGTATAAAAACATGTTTATAGCCCAAAGATCTTGGTTTCTTTCGATATTCACGCATATCGGATCGTAGCTTACTGAATTTTGACCCTTGGTTGTAAGTCAAATCGCTTTTTGTTTAGCTTGTTCTCTATCCACCTCTTGCAAAATGTGGGCGTATCTTGCCGCTGGTTTATTTGATGGTTACGTTTTTTCAATTGCCAATTGTGAAAAAAAAATCTAAATTTGTTTTGCAGCCTGAATGCCCGCTATGCCGATATAAGTTTCTACCTCATCGACTTGTCTTCTTAAAAAATATAGACGCACCACTACACTTATCAACTGTTTAAATAAAAACGTTTTTCCAATTTTAGTGATTTTTTTTTTTTTTTTTTTTTTTTTTTTAAAGAAATAAAATATTCAGTAGTGTTATTTCTATAAGTGATGGATCATACTCTACATGATGGAATGTTCGTTTCCTTAGATTAAGGGGGTTTTAGTTTCAATTTTGACTTCCCGTGCGATTATGGACATAAAATCGCTTATCTATGGACAGTAATATTTTTAACGAATACAGAGCGTCTTCCCACAAGAAATCAACACATAAAATCAAATGATATTGACAAATTTATCTTTGGGCAATATCCTTCGTCACGGCACTAAAAGGTATTAAGATGTGACAGTATCCTGACTACGGATCTACAGGAAACGGACTGTGACACTATGGTGACACTTATCTAATCAGGACCTTCACGTTGTATATAAAACTTCAATGATCAGTTAACTCTGGAACACTGTGTTGCTAAAACTAGGTTTATATATCTTTATAACATTCATAATACAAAGGTTATATACAGGAAACTAGACACACAGCTATATGATATTAAATATAGGCTAACGTTTACATGAGGATATCACCGGACCTATAATCCGAGAAGGCTAAAGGTATGTCCTTTTAAGAAGCCTGCATGATGTCTTCCCTATTATAGGTAAACTACAGTCTCGTTTAGCTATGATCATCACATAGAGTTCGTCAGCTATGATCATCACATAGAGTTCGTCAGCTATGATCATCACATAGAGTTCGTCAGCTATGATCATCACATAGAGTTCGTCAGCTATGATCATCACATAGAGTTCGTCAGCTACAGATTGTTTCATGTTTTTATCGATGATAATTAACAAATTTAAAACTAGATTAATTTTGCTACCCTGAGAATGCACTACATCTTGGTGTTAGTTATTGGTGTAAATGGGTTAGTTAGCTATTAACATCATCTGTATATGAATCACGCGACTGTTGATAGTGTCAGTTTCCCAGTACAGTTCATCAATCAAACTTCCGTTGCCATTTGTCTTGATTTGTCCATTTGGGTTACAATCTGCACATGCGTTGTACCACCAGCCACCTTGATACTCTTGAGCACAGTTTCTACCAGCATCAAGATCATTATCTCTGTCAAATGTACTGAAAGCTGAACCATTTAACCCAATCATAGAATCACCCAATGGTGTCGACAAGATGGCCTTGGTCCAGTAAGGATCAGCACTTGCTTCTGACTGGGTCCATGGAAAACTCCCAGAATACGTCATACGATAGTTGGTGGATTCATCTTCGACTTTAAAGTTTTCATATTTTCGCCATCTTCTTTCCCAGTCAAGGTTATCCATAACCTCCACAAATAAATGTTGAGGACGACTGGAGGTTATATAGTGGATTTTCTCAAGACCAATCCAGTTAGCGCCGTTTACTAAAATCTCTCCAAACCCCTCTTTGTATTCGTTCCAATCTAAATTTCTAGTTATGGATGGATTGACGGCATTTTGAGAATTCATCATGAAAAACGTTCCACCGCCAAAATCTTTCATGTTACAGTGAAGTTGAAAAGCCTGTGATGTTGTGGTAGGTTTTATTAAGTATAACCCATTATAGTCGTTATTATAATGACCGGAATAGAATCCCTCAGTACAATCTACAAATAAATCACTTTTAGTAAATAATGCGTTCTATTTAAAAACGTTTCTTATTCATGTAAGCTCACCGGATTTTAGGTTATTCCAAATCTTTCACGTTTGTTTAAATTTCTCGAGAAATCTGAATTGTATTTGAGCTAACTTTGTGCAATATTTACTAAGTAAAATGCAATTTAGCTGAAGTAGAAGGCGGAACAATTTGACTGGTTGTCGCATTAACACTAATAAAAAATACGTAGGCAAGGGAGATAATGTTTTAAATAACTTTCTATTCAGTATAGTCTGTAATTTATCTTTGCAAACAAACAATCAACTATTTTGCCGTTAATACGAAACATGGAATCAACATTGGTTGATTTCAATACTTACCCATCATGATTCGGTGACAATTATCACCTATATAACCATTGCTACATTTACAGGTTAGTGATACAGAATCGAAAGTTCCATTGTTGAGGCAAGTCGGGGCTGTCATAGTGGTCATTTCTTCAGTTGAAGTGTCATCGCTACTCGGTATCATGGCAAGGGGCTGAAAAGTTTTTAGTGCAAAATAATTTCACGGCATAATAAGTCAAATTGTTTACGTTTATTTTAAAATTCAAAATATATACCATTGCGACTGTGCTATTTAATGTCATTATGCATTCTGCACACCGAGAACAACCTACTAGGAGAATAGATCTCTGCTCTGAATGACCGCCATATCTAAATATTAGTATATTTGTAATGCGGATCTACTCCGTTTTACATGTCACACACACACACACACACACACACACTGATAAAATTTAACATTTTCACTTGTATTAAAAAATGGTTATTATGTAATTAATGCTCTTATTTCATTTTCTAACCATAACAATGATCTGAACCGTACGTCTTGAAATGTACAGACATTTAATGCGTTCAAATTCAAAATGGCCGATCATAATCTGTTAGGCAAGATTTCGGTGTCTTGAAATACACCCACACATTATGTTATGTCGAGAAAAAAAGCAATAGACATAAACAGCAGCTTATCCGATGTTGGTCAAATTTGATAAGGACTTTTTATGCCTTCAAAATAATCTGATTGATCTCTGTGGTGTTGGAAACCTTGAATTGTTTAGCCTCTATCATGTTGTTTTCCGAACGCTGAATATAGTTTTCTGTTTGAAACCAACAGGGTTCTATGTAAAATCGGAGGCAGCAGTCCCATTAAATTATAATCCGCTATTATAGTTTAACGTATCGCCATCCTAGATTCACAGGATACACAAAGTTCTGATTATATCATTTTTATACGGATAGTTGGCAACGCCATAGAGTCTACACCTTTCAACCGATCTACGGAATGTTTGTGGGTGGCTTTGGATCCACGAGATTCGAATTTTAACTTCGTAAAAGGCTCGCCGAGTTACATAACTTGGCTCAGCTATTCATCTGATTTGCCGTAGTCGCATATTCATGAGATGTCGGATGGGTTCAGATCTAGCTTGCAAAGACAATGGAATCTATAATTTCTAATCGGTATGCGTCGAAGACTCGAGTAACTAATTAGTGAGACTATGTAAGACTGGTTGACGAATTTGTGGAATTTGATCCCAACTTTTTTTTGATAATGTTTTTCTTATTTTTCTTTATAAGATCTACTGATAGAGAATCAGTCTGAGAGGACTTATTTGCCATGAATTGGATCAGCTCACTCACGGACATTTACGTAATAGATTATCCATGATACAGGCGACTGTAGGAACGAGTACTCGGTCTAAATTAGCCTAGTATTTTTGTTTATACCAATCTGCATACCATTTTTCAAAACTCTAAAAGTTCTTGACCTTGGCGTTGTACACGTCTATAAAGCTAGTATAGAGAGAAGGCACTACACGAAAACAGAACCGAAAAGACAAACCTGCGGACAAGACACAGAACACACAGAACACCCGTAACTTGAAGTGGGTGTATCTACCGACTAGAAAATACTTACCGCAAATTTAACCAAGAAAAACACATGTTTGTCCTTAGGCTCGGAACAATTCCGTTGATCATCAGAAAACATGTAACAAGTTTGAGATCCATCAAAAGTTGCCGATAAACAACTAGAATCATGACTACATTGGCGAACACAATCCAACATCCAGTCAACAGTAAGTGATTTATAAGCTGTAGCTGTTGGTACTGTCAGATGTTCACATGATTTGGGAGATTCGTATCTATATTCAACGAAAACTGCTCTACTAAAACCGATTAATACGATGATGAATGTTATTTCAACCATCTCTGTTATAACACCGTTTAACAACTGCTGTCAGCTACATTCTGGACATGACATACTACTATCTGATAATAAGATACCAATAAACAGTAATTGGCATCTACCAACTACAAAGGAAACACAAATCAATTGTAAAACCTAAAGTTGAGAATATCTGAAACTTAGCTGAAATCGTGTTAAACAATACTAATGGACTGAAAATAGGTTTACTGTGCAATTATTTATGAAAATCAATGTTTAATTGTTACCGCGGGATTTAAAGAGTCATTACAATTCTTAGTGTCCGTGTGCAGTTTATATATCACCTCAATGTGACGTATATTGGCAACCATTGTCGGTGTAAGACAAACTTGACTGGTCTTTCTGAATGATGTGTTAAATTCAAGAGGATGTCAAATATGGCCGCCAATGCCTATACCATGCGATTAACTTTAACAAACATATGCAGGCTCTAATTTGTGGCCATCTTCCATTCTCAGGTAAAATTGCAATGGTTTTAAAAGATTGCTTGAACCCTAAAACCTTGGCATAGCCCCCCCCCCCCCCCCCCTTGTCGCCTTATAGCATGAATAGCAGAGTGGAAGAGTCTGTTATATGATTCAGAGTGGCCACCCAAGCTTTCTTATTCCCATAGAGGTCACCAGTACGATTAACGGATGGCCGAATGGTTAGCACGTGCGCGCTCTATCATAAGGTCTGTCATTGAGTCAATTAGCATGGTTTCGAATCGCCGGTTGTACCTCGTGGGTTTTCTCCGGGTCCTCCGGTTTCCTCCAACTACTAAAGACCCCTACGCGCAAGTGAATTATTGAAATAAAAATTGAACCATGTGTCGGGTGGACGTTACCCCCCCCCCCCATCTCCCTATTAGTTAATAGACTATAACGTGCTAAAGACTCTTTAATGACTATGGGTTATTTCAATAACTGTTTGATTAAACCGCAACAGTGAACTCGGTACAACAATTAAATATCATAATAGCAAATTTATAAGAACATTAAAGTCAATAAAAACAGATAAAATGTATTTATTTTTCATGGAAACAAATTGTAAAGAAGCTTTTAAAAAGCAAAAATTGCTTCCACAGAACACTGAATGTCATCCTCGGTTACCCAGTGTATTCATTCCGTTCTACTCCACTATAC